CAGCCAGGATCAGGATTTTCAGAACAGATTCCATGGTGAAATTTGATCAAAGGCCCAGGCAAAGCCTGTTTTTGCCTTTTTTTGGGGTGAACAATTGGGTTTGATATCCTGTGGAGCCTGTCTTACCTCAGGAGAACTCATCCATGCACAGCCGGGTCTGGATGGCTCTGGTGTCTGAGTTGGCTGCGGTCTGAGGCACAGTCAGCCCCGGAAATTTTGAACAATGGTGTAGAGAAATAATATCTGTATTATTTTAAGCCTTCCATGGGTTTGGAGAATGGAGGTATAAATCAGAAGCGAAAGGGATCAGTTGTGGTTTTCTCATTAAAAAAGTCAACATTACTTCAGTCACTCTGATGAAGGCATTAACAGCATAGTTAGTGCTGATTAAGTCTTTGATCTGTCAATCACTTGCCCCTTGAAGGTGAGAATTCCCATTTGTAGATCAATATTCTGGTCCTAGACTCCCTTTCCCTGTCGTTTGAGTCTGCCTATCCTTTTGTCTGTCCATCCTGTTCAGGAGCAGGCGTGAGGGATGGGCAGGACCCTGCTGCAGGGCTGGATTGATGTTCTCTGCCCTGGTTGTTTGCATCAGGCAAGGCTGGATTGGTCTTGCTGGTGCTGAGAGAGGGAACGTGGTTTGGAGCAGTGGGCACTTCTACTAAAATGCAGTAACATGCTTTTGCTTTTTTGCTCCTTCCTGGTCGTGAAGTGGGTCTGTTCCCTAATAACTCAGACTAGTGAATTTTTAACACTGTCTCTAGGGGGAAAAAAGGCTATTTCACCATGCAGATTCTGTGGAGTAAAGGCCTTTCACTGCTTTCATCTCACTGCTGTTATGATTGGCCTCAGTGTTTCCCCCATTACAGTGAGATTCCAGACAGGATGATGGTGGTGTGCATCTCTATCCCTTTATCCTGCATCACATTCCACCTGCCTTTTACCCTGCAAAGGTAAAAGGTATCCCACAGATTTTCCTTCCCACCCTCCACCTACACCTTGTTTTTCCCTTGTGTGCTGGGCTGCAGAGATGACTCCCCAGTGCTGACTGTGGAGAGGCTGTTTTATTTATATGGTCTGTCTTATTCAGGGAAGCGATCGATGGAAGGATAATCATGCCATTTCAGACAGACTGCTTGTCTCACTGAAGCATAACCAGCACTGACAGGACGCAGGGGAGGGTGTGTGTCTGTGTGTGCTGCACACATGTGAGGCAGGGAATGTGACAGTGAACCAATGCAATGTCCATATTTGCCCCTCCAGTCAGCAGGCTTAGGAGGAACTGATTCCAGGCAAGGCACTGGAGGCAGAAGTAGGAGAGGCAAATGCTGATTTCAACTGCGTCTCCTTCACACCTGTCTCTGGGGCAGAAAAAATTTGGTTAGCACCCTTTCTGTGTTCTCTCAAGCCCCCTGTGCCCACCATCTGCCTCTCCAGGCTTTCTCCATCACGGCTGAAACCATTTAAAATGCCATCATCTCTCTGCTGGTCCTAAACCACCATCTGATGTGGTTTTAATGCTCTGTTAGCTGTGCTTTAAAACACTCTCCTTTAACTTGCAGGGCTGACAGATTTATGTCCAGGATGGGTGATGTTACCTCAGAGCCCAGCATGGGGCTTAGGTCCCCCTGGGTCTAATTTGCTTTGTGCCCAAGGGCATGTCCCTTTGCTCCTGCCTGCTTTCCATACCGCAGGGCTCACGGGGTCAGCCTGTTTCCACAGGCTGTGGATGTTTTGCTCTCACCCATCTGAGCCTGGGCATTGCATCCGCTGCATTGCCACTGGGCTGGCAAAGGGCTCAACCCTTCTCTGCTTGCATCAAGTAGTTCTAGAAGCTGCCACATAAGCAAAATCCTTTGCTGAAAGGTGATTCTAGCAAATTAAATTAAATTGTATGTGTCAGCCCCCACCATGCCCCCTTTCTCTTTCTTGGTGTGCCAAACATGCAGGGATGAAAATTTTTACAGGCACGGTTTCCTCCTGGTTTATGTCCCCTGCATGCACAACCTGCTTGCCCTCATGTTGTGCCCCCATTACATCTGGTAGCTCAGTTCAGACATGTCAGGGAGGCTCTCAGCCCCCTGCCTGCCTGCTTAGGGACTGGAGTGTGTGTAGTCTGCAGGGAAGGAGCAGATGCCCTTGGCCAGAGCAGGCAGCAGTGGTGCTGGTGTAGCAGAGCAGCAGTGCTGCCCGGGGGGGACTGCTGCTGCAGTGATGGTGGAGGGCAGAGCCACTCGAGTGTGGTGCTGCTGACTCGGCCTGCCTGGGAGTCCTTCAAGCCCTGATGCTTTGTCACATAGGCTCAGTGCACCCAGGCAAGCCCTGCAGCTCCCTGCGAGCTGCTCTCACCCTGCATGCCTGCCTTAGCTGGCAACCTAGGTACAGGAGAGCAGGGAAAGCTGGGGGGGGATGCCACTTCTTCTGCACTTCTTCTGCAAACTTTTGTAAACATATTGCTAATGGGTTGGAGAGAAAACACTCTGAAGAGTTATATTGCCAAATTTGGAGACTAATTTCAGTCATTAAGGTGTGAAGCAAGGGATTTTAGTGCTGCTTTAAGTGTAAATCTCAAGGCAGCTCCAAGGATTGAAGTCGTTGATGATCCCGCCTTGATTATTATTAGAGGTTCTAATCTTTCCAGTGAAAATGAGCATAAATGACACCCTCTTGTCTCATATCTGTTGCTGATTTCTGTGAACTCTTCTTGTCAAGCTGTGCTGGGGAGATTCCTGTAGTGGAATCGTTCTTGGGTGTAAGAAGAAAGAGGGCTGAGAATGGTTTAATATTGGTGTTTGTTTAATTAGATGTTGGCATTGCTTACTAATTACTGACATATAAAGCTGCAACTCCCATCAGGCTAATGGCATCCTCATCTTCTTGCAGCCGTTCTCTGTCTTTACTCTGGTGGCCAGTGCAGCGAAGTCATGAAGTTGTAGTCTTGGTCCACTGGAAGATCCCTCCCACCACCACCAGAGCCTTAATTAGGTCTTGTAGGGTGCACATACCTGGCAATGATCCATGCCTGGCATTCCTGAATACCAGAACAATTCACACAGCTGGAGGAGAAAAAAAAAAAAGCCAGAAAAAGAGCATGTGTGGTCCTGACATGGAATGTTTTATGTTTTATGCATAAATCTTATCTTATGGCTAACATTTTCCAGGTGGAGGATGTTTTGGGGTTCACTCAATGTTTGCGTTCCAAATGGCTTTGGTTTTTGGAAAATAACCCATAGTCTGCCTTTGAAAATTGTCCTGTTGCAGATGTTTCATGCTGGGCTCCCTTATGGCCATGTTTCCAATGCTGAACACGTCCCTTGAAGGTCATAACATGGAGCAAGTGTGGAATTTCCTTTAGAAATAAACATAATTGCTGATTGCACTTGGCAATGGGGAGTGAATAGATGAGTTTGGTTGATTAATGGAGTTAAAACAAAAAAGTTTGAAAAGGGAAGAAACTAAAATTAAAAAAAAAAAACCTGCCTTTTTCATTTGTTTGAAGAAGTTTCCCTGATACAATGATTTCATTTTCCCTCCTCGCAGGGAGGTCTCTTTGTGCAGATAGTAGGAAAGCATGAACCCACTGAAAGAAGAGGTTTTTTCCCCTCTTATTTATTTTCTTGAAATTGGTTCAAATTGAGTTCATAAGGGACAAATTGAAGCTGAATATTAGGAAATGTTTCCTGATGTCACGGTGTAATAGAATAGAAAACCTCTCATGTCTGTAATAGAAATGTTGCTTGTGTAATTTATAGAACTGTGCAAAGTAGGGGAGTGCAGAGTCCAGGGGCCAGCCCTGCAGGCAGCTTGGTCACCTCTGCCTCTCACGGTGATGTGATGCTACTGGTGCCAGAGCAGATTTACAAAGGTAAAATCTACTTCATGCAACAGGATTGTGAATTGAAGTGAAATATATTAACAGGGTAAACTGTCAGAGTGCCATGGTGATGTCATATAAACCAGTGAACTATGAAATGTGTATTTACCTCCTCTTCCCTACAGTGTATTTCTAGATGGTCTGACAGTTAAGAAAACAATAGACCTGATTCTTATTTACAGCAACACCCCTTTAACATGCTCTCAATGTGCAGCAAGGCCTTGAAATGAGTGTAGCTGTAATCTCAGTCCACTTAAAGGCCTTCCCTATTGCCAGAGCTGGGTAAGGAGGCTTTAGGATAAATGAGATTGAAGCCTGGACTGTTTAACTGTCCATTTGTACAGCTGACATGAAATGCCCCAACAGGGAGTGCCTTCTGCAGGAGTGATGGGGCCTTTCCAGACAGAGAATGCTGATGTTGGCTGCAGGGCTGATCACCCTTTAGCTTGATTTTACTGGGTGTAAGGCTGGACTCTGTCCTTAGGAAAAAAGACTTTCACTGGGCTCTTTCAACATACTTATCCCTATTCCTAGGCTCCTTCACAGGATCACTCTGGGCCCCATGAGGTGTGCTGGCTCTGATAGTGATGGAGCTTGTTGCAGGTGTGCTGCTCCTTCCTCTGGTCTCCACTGCTTCCCGAGTCATTGCCTCGGTATTTGGGCTGGGGGGAGGCTGTCCCCACTGCTTCACCCGTCGCCCATTGCTGTCCTCAAGTGGCATGCAAAATCCCCTTTGGAGAGTGAGTGAAGTGTAGGCTGTGCAGTGTGTTTGCACAGCTGATTGCTAAGGATCCCTCTGCCCTTTGAGGCAAGGGAAAACCAGGGACTGTGGGCATACATGTGTGTGTGACTTTTAGACATGTTTTTAGGAATTCATTGAGAGCCAACGTGGTACGTCAGTTCCCTATCCCAGTCACAAAATGGGGCCGATGGCCCTGCCTTGCCTGATTGTCCCGATTTCTGGACTAATTGTCCTGTTTTTCTAACTCACTTCCTCTAAGGTTTTCCATTGTTTTGCACTGGGCTTCTACCCTCCTGGTGTGAGCTGAAGAGGGGAGGCAGGGTCTCGTTTTGGGTTTGGTTTCCAAGCACTAATGTTCTCCTTTCTCTCTTCTCTCTCCCACAGGTACCTGATCAATGTCACCTTTGAAGGCAGGAATTTGTCGTTCAGTGAGGACGGATACCAGATGCATCCCAAGCTGGTCATCATCCTTTTGACCAAGGAGAGGAAGTGGGAGAGGGTAGGATATGTTTGATTATTCTCCATCTGTGTCAGGGAAGAAGGGGGAAGGCTCCAGGCAAATAATCCTCCCCACCTTTCTGTACTTCTTATCAAGGGCTGGCAATCTGCTTCTTGTATCCTGGACCACTGGTATCTCCACTGCCCAGGCTGCTGTCTTCTCCATGCAGGATGCCATTACAGTCTTCCATTAGCATGCATAAAAAATTCATCAGCTTCCTTTCTGTAATCTCTGAACGTAGGTTTTCCAGCCTTTCAGAGAAGATACCTCCTCTGTGCCATGAGTTTCAATGGCTGAGACAGAAAATATTTCTCTGTATGGTTTGGTGGCAGTGAAGTTCTGTACATTAAGTGACTGTGATTGAGCTACAGCCACACTTAGTAATTTATGCCAGTATTAACTGTGCTCGATGTATCTGGCCATTGTCCCTTGCAATGGGATGTGCATTAAGTGGGATGGTGAACATGAGATCATATTGAGTTGTTCAAAGATCCAGATTTGCATATTTGGGAATAATTTGCATGTAACCCAAAGCACCATTTTAGAAATGGTGTGAATTTCTGAGTTGGTGGGAAGTTTTGGTTCATTTCACCTCCCACGTAAATGTCAGTGGTCCAGGTTCTGAACAAGTATTCCCAAAGGGTTTCTCTTGAAGCAGAGGGGATAGTTTAAGGGCTAAGAAAATGAGATATAAAAAAAGTTTTGGGTGTGAGAAAAGAGCAAAGGAAGGAGAATTCATCAGAACGCTCGATAGATATGAAGCAGGGCTGTATACAATCATGTGTATGGCTTAGAAAAATGCCCCTTTGTCCTACTGTGCACAAAAAACTTTCTCTCCTTGCCTGCTTGTTCTCTGTACGGACTTGCAAGTGACTTGCTTGGTGAAAGTGAGGAAGAAATTAATGGGGAAATGAGAATGAAATGGGGAGCTGTCAGGAGAAGTGCTAAGTGAATGAGACAGAAGAGCAATCACATTGGTGCCTGGCAGTCACTAGGGTCTCCCCAGTACTTGCAGGAATTTGCCAAGAAGGTGAAAGCCCTCAGCTTGTGCCTGGTTTCCACGGGGACCTGTCTACCTCCTGATCTTAGCACTGTTCAGACCAGATGAGGGTGTGTGTTCTGGGACAGACAGAAGAGGTCTCAGTGGGCCAGGAGTGTGAGGAAACAAAGGGCATGGCATAGCATGTGTGGGCAGCTCTTGGCCATAGCTGAAGGCAGACAGTCCAGATACTGCACAGGGTGTGCACATGCAAAGCTCAGGCTGTAGAGAGCTCACATCAGGCTCGGTCTGTCACTCAACTTCATTTAAGCTTACCAGCAAAAGTCCAGGAGGATTTGTTCCTAGCTGGCACCACATTTGTTCTCATGGGGGAAAATTCCATCATCAGAGAAGGAAAATGAAGCAGCAGCAGCTTGAATCCTCCTAGGGGTTATTAGCAGGCCTGGCTGTGGGAATCTGTTGCTGGAATGCTTTGCAGTCTCTGGGGAGGCACAGCTAAATACAGTCCTGTTTTAATCTTGCCTGTCACATGCTTCACATGTCACACCCTCAGTGAAGGCTTGGTGGCTTCTGTCAGTGGTAAGAAGGGTTGTTCAGTCTCTGGGAGTGAATTTGTGGTCTCTCAGTTGAACCAGACAATTAGTAGAAGGGTTATCAAGAGTGTTGGGGTTAGATCTGTGACCTTCTTGAGCCCTGCTATCTGTGAGAACTACTTGGCACCCATTAAACCAAAACAGTCCGTAACTTCATAGGAGCTGGGGCTGGACTGAAATGAGGCCATGATGAGCTGTGGTATTAGTGGTAAGAAAAACACATAGTGCTTCCTGGGCCCAAGTGTTTTATCTTGAAATGGGTGTCTTCCTCAGGGAGGATCAGATTATTATAATCAAACTCTGAACTGGTTGAATTTTATGCTGGCAGGCTCTTTCTGGAAGACACTGAAGTAATCTCCAGTGTGTTCTGATCACAGATACAACCTTTCATGCCTGGAACCTCATGCTCTTTTTCTTAATTTTTTTTCCATTCAACAGAAATTCCAACATAAAAATAAAAATGTGAAGCAGAGATCTTTGCGACAACAATCATAGTTTTGTTCCATGTTTGCAAAGAGTCAAGCAACACAAACTGTTGGCCCTTAACAGCAGCTTCCAGGCAATGCCACAATACAAGAAATTATTAATATATTTTTAGCCCATAATTCCAATACCTTTATAGTGCTTTGGAACATTATCCAAATTCTCACTAATTTTATGTAAAGAGCAAGGTGCTTCATCCTGGGAACTTTTCGGCAAACAGGCAGTAGGAGACATGAGATGAGAGGCTGAGTGGGAAACACTGATTTGGTCCAGTTGCATTCACTGTAGCTCAGTCTTTAACTACACACTTATCTATAATCAGATGCTATGCCTGGAAGGAATGTCAAGAGGTCAACTAGTCCCTCCCTGTGCCCCAAGAGAGGGTTTAACTAGACTGAAATTATTCCTGACAGATACTTGTCTCACCTGTTCTGGGAGACCTTCAATGCTACAGATTCCATGAAATCCCAAGTCAATCTCTTCTATGCCTTCTTTCTCCTTACCCTGCTAAGTTTTCCTAATGTCTAACCTAGATTTCCCTGGCTGCAATTTAAGGCCATGAATACTTCGTGTCTGCCTAATGGACATAGGGAATTGTTTATTCTCTACCACTTCTTATTTTCCCCATGTGGGTTTGAAGTCTTCTATCATGTTGTCTCCCAATCACCTCTGGTGTAGGTTAAACAAGAATTTGTTTGATCCCTCTTGGTAGGTCAAGTTTCCTAGTCTTCTGATCATTTCTGTTAGTCTCCTCTGGATTTAGTAACACAGCTTGCAGCTCTGTACAGGCTGGCATATTTGATTCTTGAAAGATGGCAAATGGATTTTGAGGGTATGTCTTATCGAGTATATATAAAAAGATGTGTTTTAAAATAGGTGTGAAGTCTTCCATTTTCTGAGCAGCAAAGATCCAGACAGTGACTGAACTGTTTCAGGATTTCAGGTCTGTGAAATCTTTTGCAATTTTGATTTTTTTTTCCAATAAATATCTTCACAACCTCACCAGTTATTTCAGAACAGGAATTAATTTTCCAGAGGAGCTGCAGCTGCCCCCGGACTCTGATGATGATGATGTGATAAATCTCCTCATGAGTGCTTCATACAAACTGAAGCCTTGTAGGGCTGACAGTCATGAAAGAGCAAGAAGAAAACCCACTTTCTGCAAGGGGGCAGTAACTTGGGCTCTCCTGCTTGTCTTAACCATGAGTAATGGTTCATCATGATAAGCAAATGTGCTGAATTTCATTCACTTCTCTGTACTCTGCTCCTTGGGGGCAGAACACTGCATGCCTTTCCACACTACCTGTTCATCAGCAGGTTAGTGAAGCTCTTTGCTTCACTGGCCAGATAGCCTAGGTGTATTTTGGGTGCCTAGATGCCCCTGCTGTATTTATCATAGAGGGGCAGGTATGCAGATGGAGGTGGTGAAGGATGTCTACTCTTATGCCCCATGAATGACCATGCCTCAGTGCAGTGATGAGTGGGGGCCAGATGTCTTGCAAAGTGAGCCAGAGGATCAGTACTGCTCTAGGTTTTGTGTCTTTGGGTTCTGATATTTTGTGTGGGAAGAGATTTCACCCAGTATTTTTTTCACTATTTGCCTTTTTTTTCTGCTCTCTTATGATCCCACATATGATGAGGACTTAATTCTGGGTTCATGATCCCTCTGTGAGACCTAGCAAGTGCTGCTATCTCCAGCTCTTGCTTACATCCTCCTTCTCTACTGAGTCCTATCCCACTAGCTCCCTGCCAACAATCCTGTCCCATTAGCTCCCAGATCTTCTCATCTGCTTCCTCACTTTCCCCCAGCAAATCTGGAGGTGACAGAAATGTTATCAACTTTGGGGCCCTCTTTCAGATTCCTTCTCTACTTTAATTACTAGCTAGTTTGGCATCACTTCTATAGCTAGTTTGTGCTCAGCCTCTTCTGTTGAATGTGTCACTGGGAATTCAGAGCATCTTTCCATGAGGCACCTGACACCAGGTTCTTGTGCCACCCCACACACCCTTTGGTTCACAAGCTCCCTCCATCTCTTACCAAGCATGCCCCATTCACTCCTCTTCCTGTCTGGACAAGCAAAGCCCCAGGTGATGGTTTTGGCCAGGGTGCCACTACAAGGCATCTTAGAGGACAGATGGGAAACTTATGTTGAAAGATGCATTTTCCTTGCTGCATGTACCAATCCTCTGCCCCTATCAACCTTCACCCCACTCAGCAGATAAAATGTTTGCCTGCTGCTGGTGCTATAATTATCAGCACTTGACTTTTGAACTCTTCAACTCCAGCAGGTTCTGTTCTGCTTCCTGTAGCCATTGGTGTGACCATGATTACAAATTCATGGGCAGGCTGCTCCTAGCCTGTACCCTTACACCATTGCACACATTAGTGCTCCCTGGGGATGGGGCCATTTGCTGTGACATCCTCTCAACTGCCTCGGTGACTGTAGATTTCCAGGACTTCCTAATGATGCAGCAGGGTGGAAAATAGTGCCACTACTCTCTGCCACATGGATTTTCCAGAGATGTGTTCAACTCGATCACAGTCTGCATAAGATGAGTTTGTGATCTTCTGTGACCCTGTCTTCAGCTTGGGACAGAGCACCATTATGCCCATCCATGCCTGGGAAGAGTTCCCCTGGGATGTGGGACAGAGATACAGAAGGGAAAGAAGGATTTAGAAAAGAAAAATGAAAAATGAAGATTTCCCTTATCTAAAAATATGAGGAAAGAGAACAAGATAAATTTTTGGACACCTAAATGATTGCTGAAAAAGGACATACTAGTCACCTGCTTTTTTCATGCCCCAGTAGAGAGAAAGAAAAAGTTATTTTGCTAAATTGTCAAGTAGAAAGATTTCAGTTAGATGTGTAGGGAGCTGTCTAATTATTGGCATGGTGAGACATGGTGAGGCTCATTTGCTGGTA